TGAAAGTGGTCCAGAGGTGCACAAGAAGATGAACTTGAAGTGGGGCCAAACTTAAAATGGGAGTGCTTTTTCTTTTTACATCTTTTACATCGCGGGCGATCGTGGCTCAAGAGTTGGGAGTTCGCCTTGTAATTGGAAGGTTGCCGGTTCGAGCCCCGGCTTGGACAGTCTTGGTCGTTGTGTCCTTGGGCAAGACACTTCACCTGTTGCCTACTGGTGGTAATCAGAGGGCCCGGTGGCGCCAGTGTCCGGCATCCTTGCCTCTGTCAGGGTGGCTGTGGCTACAATGTAGCTTGCCATCACCGGTGTGTGACTGTGTGTGTAAAGCGCTATACAAATACAGGCCATTTACCATCTTTAAAAGCCTTTACCAGGTTTTTAACCTGCACTGGTGTGGTGGTTTACATACCCTCAGTCAAATTACTTCTTGGTCTGTTAATAAAACGTCCCTGTGCTAACAATAGCTGATGATGCTTCTTGTGTGTATGATTTACTTTAAGTTAATGTGGGAATTGATACCCCAAAGAACTTTCCCCGTCTTGTAAGCTTCCAAACACCACCTACTCCACTACAGTAGCAGAACAGAACACATTCACATTATGATGGTAGTCTGTAAATATGGAAGACACAGTCAGGTTTTGAGGTCAGACAATTAAGATGTGATTAAAGTGGAGACTTTCAGCTGCAATTCAAAGAATTTAATGAAATTATTATATTAATTGTTTAGAAATTATATTTTATACACAAATCCCCTTTCTCAGAGGCTTAATATATGGTGATTGCATAGTAAAACTAAAAAACTGTTCACAGCCAGGTAAGGTTTACTCCTTCAGTATTCCATGACAGATTAGGCAGATTATAGACCTGTTTTACCTAAGACACGAAAATATAACGGCTGTAATCATTCAGTTGTATTTTATTGAAAGTGAAAATGGCAAGAACTTCTAGGAACTGGGATTTATTATAAAACGATATCTTTAAAAAAATTCTCATAACTATAAATACAAAACATTTAAAGTAAAACTAGTGCGTGCATTCAGAGCAGTGCTAGGAAACCTTGTGTGTGGGTGCCCTTTTGATCTTAACATCCACCAGCCCCTCTTTTTATTCTCTCAGTTAGATCTTTTATTTCAGTTAAATAATAAATAGATTATAATTTGTTTGTAGATTATTGTTACACTGCAGGTGCAAATGTAATGTACTTGGTTTCATGTAGCACTTTTCTAATCTTACTGTTGCTACTAGTCAAACTTTAACTATAAATTCATATAGCACTTCATTACCTTCGCTTCCATGGCAAATTCACCAGTCACCATGATACCTGTGATAGTTCCCCCATGAACTCTGTCTCCAGTTTACATTAAAAATACTCACAGACATGGCATATTCCATATTTGTCCCACACTGGGGACTCAGTCTCAGTATGCCTGAATGTGCAAACATTTGTAGCATCTTTACAATATAAAATTTTAAAATCTTCTAATTTCACTGTGTTCTGGGTTACTTTAGGTGAAGTCAATCAGTTTTTAATGCTGTGCAATGTCAAAACAGCTCAAAATTCACCTTAACAGTATAAAGGTTAAGGAGGTGGGAGTATCAGGTGTATGTATCAATGAACATCTCCATGAATGGAAATACAGAAGGCTAACAAGAAGGAGCAAATCACTGGTTACACGTAGAAACCGTTAGCCCAGGGTAGAGTTTGTCAGAAACATGTAAAAGAGCCTGCACAGTTATGACAAATAGTCCTTTAGACAAATGAAACAAAGTTCAACAGTATCAGAATGATGGGGAAAAAAGAGCAATGGCTCATGATCCAAAGAAAACCACATCACCTGTCAAACAGCACAGAGGGAGTGTTATGGCACCGACCTTTAAGATCACCATGACTGATGGTTGATGATTTGATTGCTGATAAAAGTAGGATGAATCGTGAAGTGTACAGGGCTGTACTCTGGTCAGATTCAGCCAAATGCAGCAAAACTGATCAGACAGCGTAACACAGTAGAAATTGACAATGATACAAAGCATAGCGTTTTCTCAAGGCAAAGAAGTTAGATATTCTTCAACTCAGTCATCTTAACCGAGAAGAGCAGCTTTTCATTTACTGAAGATGAAACTGAAGACACAAAGACCCAAATGAAGGTGGCCACAGTAAAGACCGAGCAAATGCTGTGAATCCAGGGCTGGAGCATAACGGTATTTGTTTATATCCATAAATGACTTTGTCATTGACAGCAAAGTATTTTCATCAATCTGTTGAAAACAATCTTTATATTTCAAATCGTGTAAGTTTGTCCACTTACTTTTGAGCCTCTGAAAGTGGTTGACTGTAAAAATGCAATACTTTTGTTAAACACCTTGAATTAAAGCCGGAAGTCTGCACTTCAGATACACAATTTTGCCTCTGTGCACCACTGTGGTGTACAAAGAAAATGCCACTGTATTAAGACAGGCTGAACTTGGTTCTGACCGGCTCTGGGAAAACCGACCCAGTCAACGAGCTCATTTGTATTTTATAGTGTTGTATAAAAATCAGGCAAAATCTCAGTTAAATTAATCTTCATGTTTTCTTAAATGGCATCTAATCTCACGCTGCTGTATTTTTACTGCATGTCACACTACAATGAGTGTTACAGTTAATGATAATAATGATGCCATGATGATTTGTCTAGTGTTAACTTGGATGTAAAAACTGCAGACCTCCAAACTGGCTGCTACAGTACTGCTGAGGTCCTGTTTTATCATATGTGAACTTTTATCCGACTGCCCCCTGCTCTTTTGGAGTTTTCTTTTTTAGACTGACTGAAGTTACAGACTTGAATATGATTGATCCCGAGTATCAGAATGGGTGAACTACAGAAGCACAGGTTTCCTGTACGGAGACGCTCACCATTACAGAGCCACACAAACAGTATTTGCTCTTTTCCTGACGTCTAAAGTCTTGAAGCAAACGGAAGCCATATTTCACTTGTTGATTATTCAAAACCAGTTGGATGTATTTTCATGTCTTTGTTTGCCTAAAGGATTATTTAAAAGCTCTATTTATGAGATGTGTGATGTTTTGAAACTTGAGGAAAATGTGAATTTTATTTCTTTTTACGTTTGTCCGGCACCTGCAGAGAGAACATTTTAAGTTACATCACTGAGCTCTGCTGCACCCTGATATGCAATGTGACTGTTTTTGGAGAATATTTGAAGGGCTAAAGTAACCCGATGAGTTTATAAGTTATATATTAGTCTTCTGTATATGGAGCAGTTGCAGACTGTTCTGTTTGAATTGAAAACTAAAGGAATGTGGACATGTGCCCACTGAATCTTTAAAGACACAGCTATGCCTGACAGCTCACTGGGTGAATGAGAACAGAGGTCTTCTCCAGTATTTATAGTTTATAGTTGTGATGGTATGAAAATGGTAAATATCTTTATGTATGAATGATCGCCATGAAGCTGGACAACAGATAAGCTTTTGAACAATGTGATTATTTTAAGTAGTTTACTGCTTGTTCAAATTCCATGAAATGATTTGAAGAGTAAATGTGATTTGCTGTCGATGCCACATTCTCTGCACAGATTTCATGTAAGAACGATTATTTTTATGACCTGTGTATGATATTAGAACTTGTTAAAGATCAGTAATAAATACAGTTTAGGGATTTTTTTTGCTCTTCGGTGTCATTGTTTAGGCAGCCATAGGTCCATCCATGTGAAATAAGAAATGGTCAGAGTACAACTAGGATTTGATATTGAAACCATTTCAGGTCTAACATGTGGAGGTTTCATGTGCTCATTTCATTCCCAACCATATTCAGATCCACACAGATTCAATAAAATCACAAAAAATAGAAAGTGGACCAACGTCAGCTGTCATCTCCATGTTCATTTTTTTTTTCATGACCTACATCCGGTTTAGCCATATGCAGACTGATGCACCAATATAAAATCATGCTTTTATGTCTGAATAAAGCCACTTTTCTACAAGAGTTCTTTTTTCTCACACATAGTGTGTCAACCAATCAGATTGGACGAAGAGGTGACATTTAAAAAAACTGGCCTTATTTTGGACATTATATTGCAAACAGGGACGTTTGACTTGCAGATGTATCAAAGGCAGACACATTGTGCTCATTTACAATAACAATTACAATACTTTTAGTTTGATGCTGTGTTAGGGTAGCTTTGCATAATTCATAATTCAAAACAATCCTTAATTATACCACAGTGGCTTGGTGCAGCTCCTGAGTTCATACCACTCCCTTTAAACCAACATTCTTCTTACTGGCTGCCACTAGCACACAGTAGGTCTGAACAAGGCTGTGCGCCTGTGTCATCACAGGTGGGCAGTAAAAAAAAAAAAAAAAGAAAGAGACATAGCTTCATGGTTGGAAAATAAAGCTAATGGTGAAGTGCATTACAACTGCATTCTATCAGAAGGCCACCGGATGGTGATAGCTGTTGTTGCAAAAAGACTTCTGGCCTTTAGAAGATTTCAGGAATACACCTTCCTCTCTTGTGTTTTTTTATTATGACTCATATTGGGTAAAATACTAAAGTTTATTTAGTAAATCTCAGTCTTGGAGGATATATCTGTGGTATGAAAACATGCGCTCTTTGATTAACATCTTGTCAAAGTTATTAGCTAATGACTTAGGATTGACTAATGATGTCAGAAACTGAGTCCACACTTCAGACTGCTCCAACTGAACTGTCTGAGTGTAATGGACTTTAACATCACTTGTTGCATCGTTATACATATAAACTCTAAACTAACTCTCAACAGAAAAGCAGCACTAAGCTAAGACAAAGCTAGGGTTGCACGTATTGAATGTGCAGACATACGTGCAATAACAGACGTTAGATTTAAGTGTTGACTAAACCCAGTGCCGCCTTTGTCTCTTTCCTGTCTCTACTTCTGCTCCCACATTTCTTCCTTCCCTCTCTCTCTTGCTGTCTTTCTTCTCTCCTGTTGTTTTTTTCTCTCCCTGCTTTTGCTCTTGCAGGACAAACTGTGTCTTCCTCACCACATCCTGGAGGAGAAAGGCCTGGTCAAAGTGTCCATCACGGTGCAGGCTCTGGTGGATGAAGCCTCCCCCAGACACTCTGCCCTGACGTGAGCAGTAAAGATGGGCGGAGCTTCAACCGACTGACACGTACCACAGACACTCACCCAGATGAAATCGCTCATGTGATTTCACACAACGCTAAAAAAAAGCCTCCGATCCTTCATGAGCTTAAGTAACAGAGTGTTTTTTTTGTTTGTTTGTTTTTTAAAATAGTATTCAAGGATAAAAAATGGTATTAAGGGAACTAAACCCATCAGAAGTGTATTATCTACTAATTCATAAGAGGACAGTTTTTTTGGACAATTAAGATTTTACCATCGTGCCAAGCCAAGGGTGTGCTAGGAAACTCAAATTATCTTTTTTGTTTGTTTGTTTGTTTGATGTCATCTTCTTACACTGGTTGGTACCAAACTTTTGAACCATGAAGACCAATGTGACAGAAAGTGAGATTGGATTTTGAGAGTAGAACCAGAAAAGTTTGGGGAAAATATTACAAATAACGTGAGAGAAAAGGCTCAAAGTTTAGAAAGTGTCATAATATATTATAAAAAATATAGATTTATTCTTTTGAAATAATAATTTTAATCTTAAATCTGCAATTTGGGGAGGAGGGGGTTTTATAATTCTTCCATTCAATTATTTACCTCAATTTTCTTTTTTTTTTATACAACTTAATTGGTGTATTCTTTAAAAAAAAATGCATCTGTGTTCTCAAAATCAATGTTTTCGTTCTCTGACTGTGGCTCTGGTAATGTGTTGTTTTAAATCCACGATTGAACTCTAAATTGCGAGCGGATTGGCTGGAGCCAAAGCCTTTGGCGTACTGCAGTCGCACCAACTTCACCAGGTTATATCATGCTGTCTATGCACATGTTAACAAATGATTTTTATTAAATTATCAGTTATAAATTATCAGATTTTTTTTCCTACTGAGGTTTCTGGTGAAGTGTTTTTGGACTGTGTGAGTAATTAGTGTGTTGCTCTCACTACCCTGAAAAGAATAAAACCAAAATACTTTAGTCTTAATGTAGAGGGAGTCGGCTTTTACCTGCAGTTTGTATTTAAACACGAAACTATTTATAATATAAAGAGATGCAGAGAAAATCCGCTTGAGTTGTTATATACAGTCAAAAAGAAAGAAGGCCAAAATATTTTTCTCTAATATATTTTAGGTATAACTGTATGTGTTTTATACATTTTTAGCAGTATGACTTTGTGTGGAGCTGTCTGCTCGTCCATGAGGTAGGTCTGAGTGTGCGTTAGTCTGGGGACACTAATCTGTGTTTCTCAAGCTTCTGATGGATTCCAGGTGATTATTTTCTTACCCTCTATCCTTTTACGTGTGTTGGTAGTCAGTGCTCACATAAGGAACCTGGAAACGTTTTCAGACTTGGTCCGTGAAGCTCCTATTGTGGTATTTGTCATGAGATGCAGTTTGCTAATGTGCCAAAACATGTGGTGGTAGTGGAACAAATAAACAAACAAAAGCAAAAACCAGTCAGTGTTTCAAGGGAACATTATGCATCACTGTGGTCATGGATGGATTACTGAACAGGCCTACAGTTACAGGGACCCACGGTCAGGGTGGCCCAGCTCAGAGCCCCAATTTGAAGGGATCAGCTAATTTCATCTGGAACATTAAAAAGAAAAAGAAAACACAGACCCAGGGTGACTACAAAGAGATAAAAATCAGCGACAAAAGGTCACAAAACAACCCACCAAAAAATGGTAATAACAGTGACTCACCATAACTACAAAGAGACAAAAAATGAATGCAAAGAAACAAAACCAAAAGTACCCACAAAAAGATAAAAAACTGACTCCTCATAACTACAGAGAGACATGACTACAGCCAGACAAAACAAAAACTACCCGCAAAGAGACACAACACACTCAACATGACTACAAAGAGACACACAATAACTAAGAATCTGCATCTGTAGAGACAGATAATAAAAAACAACAGATGGTCACACCACAACAACAAAGAGACAGAAACTAACCACAAGCAAACAAACAAGCTTTATTTGTTACATACACAATCATACAGAGTACGACATGCAGTGAAATGTTTTGTGTCCGAGCTGCGAACAGGCTGCAGACGTAGCCACGCCATTCCAGAGCTTGGTTTTTTTAGCATGGGCGGTCTAGCCAGGACCCTTACTGTATACACAACAAGTGACTACAAAGAAACTGCAAAAAACACCACAGAGAAACATTGCACTAATACACACAAAACGACTTCAAGAGACGACAAATAGACAACATCCATGAGGACAAACAGACTGACCAAAAAAACAAACCCATTATACTGTAATAGACTAGAGACTCTGGATGATGTCATTCTCCACTGTAGAAGGGGTCTGCGCCCGGGGGCCTGTTGTTGAGTACTATGTCTATGTCTGAGCTTCAGGCCTCGTAGACCACCTGAAACTGTATGTGACTTTTATATTTCAGGTGTGTGTGAAGACGAGATTTTCATGTAGCCATCGCCCTAGCTCAGACAGTCTCAGCTAGTTAAGACTCTACCATTTTTTTAAACTCTTAAAACACTATGTTAAAAAAAACATCCCTAGGTTTAAAAACTTGAGTCTAATGAGGTTTTTGCTGCTTAGCAGTCAATATGAAGATGTTAAAATGAAACGCTCCTCTGCTGAACAGTTGAGCACATGAGGGGCTCGTGAGTGAACTGGTTCTACCCTCTGAGGTTTAGGCCAGAGCTGTTGGTGTGTGAGATCAGAGACTGTGTGACTCAGGGTAGGTTTGGGTTTACTACACTGTTGGCCCTTCATTCCACAGCCTGCTACGTCAACAGTATCAGTGTGTGTGTATGTGTGTGTGTGTGGTCATGAGTGCGTGTGAAATCAAGGCAGTTGCTGGTTGGTCTTTTGAAACATGTGGTTGTGCAGACCTGGCTCAGATTGAGATTTTAAAGGGGTAGTAGGAAGTATTATTTTGAATAACATTATTATGGACTTTGATCAGCCTCTGCTGTGTGATTGCATTGATACACAACAGTTATGTTGTACTGTTTGGCAGATTTACTTGTCACACAAGTGCTGGACTTGTTTCTGAAACTAAGGTTTATGCTATATAGCAAGTTTAACAAAGCTACTTTTTCTTTGCATTAGCTGGCTCGGCAAAACCTGAAACAACAGTCATCACATATCACAACACTGTTATCAGCGTCCTGGGTTAACACGGGCGTTCTGCTTCAGGCTCCAGGTGTGCTAGCATAAAAGGGAATGTGGGACGCCTGATTTGACTGTTTTTATTCACAAAATAAACCAACCATGTACTGCCTACTACAGTCTTATCCAGGAATGTACAGGATATAAAATAAATGACCAGTTAGTTATATGTTTAGCATAAGTTACCATGGTCATTAGACCAGATTTTTAAAAAGGGCTGCACTTGAGACATTCGCTAACCCAAATCTTCTTACTGCCCCTTTAAAACAAGCATTACATTATGTTTTCCTCCTAAATGCCAGAATGTCACCACATGAAACAGCAACATTCAACAACATTGTATGAATGGGGGATTACATTTTTGGTTTGTTTTTTTTTTTTAATTGTTTGTTGTTGTTTTTTCCTGTGCAGCTTGGAATCCAAAGCTTGAGCTACTTAAATATTCAGCAGTAATTAGAAAGAACTCCATAATAAATAGATAAATGCTTCCACTGGATAGATTTGACAGTTGCCAAAACAAACCTTTTTCTCTCCTGTTATAAAACATAAAGGATTTAATGTAAATGTGCTGTATGCTTGTGTACATATTATTTATCACAAGGATTTTTTGTATTGTTGAATTTGTTTGTTCATGTACTGTATATTTCACCATGAAACACTCACATTAGCAAATAAAAAGCTCAATGTTTTTTTTTAACCTAGAGATTAAGTTTGTTTACACAAAAACAGACCATAATTCTTCCATCAATAAATCCATTTTTCTGCCACTTATCTGTGCCACAGGGGCAGCGGTCTAAGAGGACCGATCCTATCTTCTCTGCTACCAGCTGCTAGCTTATCCAGAGGGAGACCGAGGGGTTCCCAGGCCAGTCAAAAGACACGATCTCTTATTTTAGTCCGATGTCCTAATTATCTCAGCTGGTTTACATAGACTGCGGGGGAAAATTACTCAGATTGACGATTTCTGATTGACGGAGTTATGTGTTTAAGGGAGAGCTCAGACATCCATCAGAGGAACCTCATTTCTGCTGCTTGTATCAATGATGTTGTTCCTTCAGTTGCTGCCCTGAGTTCGTGAACAGGGTAAGAATGTACTCATTCGTCCCTACAATGAGCTTTAGCAACTGTGGATCAGGGTGCCAGTTCCCCTACTGCTCACTTTCAACCAGCCCACAAAGTACTGAATGGGGTGCCACCCCCTACTGGGAGTGCCATCACTACTGGGGCCCCTACTGCGGCTACTGCCCCTGAACCCCTCTCTCAGGTGAGTTAACTGGTCTGATGGCTTCTTCTACGTAGGGGTGTTTTAAATCATTCTTAGCCTGTCCCCCTCACCCAGCCTTTGCCTTGGGATGACCCTACCATTGCTCCTGGGATCGTGCAGGCATGCATACCCCTCCACTCCACAATAAGTTGTTGATTCATGCAGGGAAACATACTTATTACATTCTTAATAACAATGTAATAAATATTAAATATAACACAGTACAGTGAGAAAACTACCACTATGAGGATTAGCATGTCTGCTTTAGCTGTGACATAAGTAACAGAGCCGGATGATTCCAGCGTGCTTATTTTGAATCTCTATCTGCATTTCTTCACATAATCATGCCATTTTCCACAGATCTGTGCACATCATGTCACAGCGTTTTGGGAAAAAGCAATAAAACCAAACTGGCTGCTTCCCCAACAGAATCTGCACTTTAAACTTGTATTTATATCTTTGTTTTGGCAACTGAGCAAATCTGAAGTCACCTTTGAAAATGAGATGGAGAGTTAAAGGGCCAGTGTGGGGGGTTTACTGGGAGCTATAAGTAGAAATGTAATATTTACTTATGTTATTATAGGTCACCATCAAGTGTGAGATCAGAAGGAACAAACCAAACACTGTCTCTTAAGAGGGCTAAAGAGTGGCGATGCCACTAAATCCTACACACTGATCCTTTAAGGTTCCAAACGTGACGCTGTTGTAAAATATGTAAATGTGTGCCTGCTGAACCTAAAGCAGTGTGTTTTTGTTTTAAGGTTTCATCTTTTGTACAAATCTATTGTCCAGAAACAGCCTGTACTCACATTTTTGTACTTTGACTGGGAGCACATTTATTTTTTATGTGACTTATTTTCAGGTTTGTTGAAATTTGGATGTAACATACCCTTTTGTAACGCTTTGTGAACCTTTGTGTAAGTTTTTGTTGTACAGCAACTCAAATCTACATGCATGAATAGTCCCTGTAACGTCGCCTTAACTGCTGTGAATACTGTATATACTGTACTGTATTTCACTTTATCAGTAAAGACCTCACCTGAAACAAAAGTCTGTTGTTGGCTCATTTGTATAAGTTGTTTTTCTCCTCCCTTGAATTTCTCTAAAATTTGACTCTATTGATGCATCATTTCTGATATTGAACGAGTCTCCTCGGTCAAACTGGACAGCATTAATATAGTGTGGTTCTTGGTGGCAGGAGAAACTAGAGTACTAGAGAACGTGCACATCTTACTTAAAGACCAAGTCTGGGTTTGTACCAGGCAACAGTGCTAACCACTAAGTTGCACTTGGCAACGGTAGGGAGGAAGATTTTACTTTTAACAGGTAGAGACTTGCACCAGAGCCAGGCTGACAGATGAGCAGCCATTTGATGAATTGAGGATAAAGGAGGACATAATCAACCCAAAAGGCTTGAAACAGTGAAATATCCCCAATAAAATCTCTAAATGGTAAAACATGAACTCAATATTTATTTAATTCAAAGGAAAAATGTCAAAGTAAGTCCTTACATGAAGTTTGGGAGACTTCATATACTGTATTTTTGAGCTTTTTTTTTTAATGTATATTAGCCATTCTGAAGTTTAAAAAAACAGCATGCATCACTACAAACAGATGTTTCTGTTACTGTTTTTATGACCAAAGGATGCAAGAAAGAAATGTTAACCCCTTAAAGCTGGAATTGACTTTGAAGCTCATTTTAAGCTTTAAACTTGTCTTAAGGGCCGATTATATAACTGCAGTCACAAAGATGAAATAATCAGTGCCATCTAATCTATCCGTCGGGGTCTAAGTGTTAAAATAAGGTGAGTGAAGAAGCAGCAGCCTGGGTCAAGCAGTGTAATGAAGGTTCACCTGATCCATCAGCAATACCAACCGGGAACGTTTTAAGGCTAATCTTAAGTGGGTGCCTGTAAGTCAGCAGTCTGAGAGTGTAGCGCTCTATTGGGGTAATATGGTACTATGAGGTCTTTAATCTGTGCTTATACACCACTTTGCATTTAATCACTAATAATTACTAAAACTGGCTCTCTTCCACAGTGTGTCTTTTATTCTCTCCCCCAATCAAATGCAGCAGATGGCGGCCCCTCCCTGAGCCTGGTTCTGCAGCTTTTCTTTCTCTCTTTCACCAAGTGCTGGTTCATCTGGTGGTTGGGGTTCCTTCTGTATTACTGTCTTTACCTTCCAATATAAAGCTTCTTGAGTCGACTGTTCAAAGTTGGTGCTTTAGAAATCAAATTTAAATAAAAAACACTCAACAGCAATGCAATGAAGACAAAACACCAAAATTTATCAGCAAGATTTATTTTTTTATTTTATTCTTATGAAAGACTGACCAGTCTCCGCTCTGAGTCCAGAAGAAAATCCACATGCTGGCAGTCGGGTCACAAGAATACTTCCTGATATTAGAGACGTGGCTGTAACCACACCTCCCCAAAAAAAATACTAAACACAGAAGTTTCTCTTCTTTTCACAGTGAAGGCACAAAGGCTTCTAAGTGGGACGAATTGTCAGTGAGCTGACATGCTTTGTTTAGTTCCCAGAAACGGGTAAACTCAGTGCTACAGGAAGTCGGAGGAGAAATGAAACAGAAAAGGTGAATGATGGCAGCAGGGTCAGAGTGATCTGGCTGGGGTCAAACTGCGGTGGCTGTTCAGGCATTCAGGTACTTGGTGTGGTGTTTGATGTGGTCGTTCATGAAGGAGTAGATGAAGAAGTAGCTGTGGTCATAGCCCTGCAGAAGGAAACAGCATACAGTGACACAGATCAGGTGTTGCATAAATATGAAGATCAAAAATAAATAAACTTCATTTTCTCAGCTGCTGTACGACTTATTTGAAGACATTTCTGATTTCTCTGACAAGAATCAGAGCTTTTACTTTGTAGAGACTACAGGAACTGACCGGCTGCAGCCTGAAGACGACAGGGATTTTCTTCTCGGAGCAGACAGCGATCAGGTTGTCGGGCAGAAGCTGGCTAGCTGACAGGAACTGGTCGTCTCTGCCTTGATCAATGAGGATGTCGAGCTGAGGACCGGAATACGAAGCTGCCAACACGGTAGCATCGTACGCCTGAAAGAAATAATGACGAGTTGCATAAGTCACATGATCATGCTCCATTATCACCCGTTTCTTCTGCTCTGGTGGCCAAACTCTCCTCGTTGAAACTCTCATTGACTCTTCATCCAGCAGCTTAGGGGTCATGTTTTAGTAGGTTCTTTGGCCACTAACTTCAGTGCTCTTACCTCCCATGTTGACCTATCAGGGCCCAGGTATCCTGAGAAAGCTTTCTGTCCCCAGGGACACTGCATCGGGTTACAGATGGGAGCGAATGCAGACACAGCCTGCAGGAGACACATCAGGATCTATCAGCATCTTTCAGTTATTCAGAATGTGTTTCTACTGATGGAAAGTGAAGAGAGAGGACAGCCGAGGCTGACAGGATGCAAGAGTTCTGGTGATGTGATATTTTGTGACAATAAAATGTTTCCACAGAGATTCCTGAAGTTTTAATGAAACAAATCTGATAAAGAAGAATGATTTACTAGTTTCACTGGTGTTGGCTTTTTAAAAGAGTACTTGGGCAAACTACATAACTGAGCAATTGAGACATGAAAACCAAATCTCATATAACCAAAGAATCCACCACACCTTACGTCTCTTTAATTCTCGGCTCTTTACCTCACAGTATAAAGTGCCTTGATGGCAACAAATGTTGTGATTTGGCACTTTATAAAATTGAAAATTTAATAAATGCAATCGCCTGTATAATCCCGTCTATCTGAGCCTATCTACACATCTTCATTAGCGTTTACGCAGCTTTACTTCAATTAGACTGAAGTCAGAGTCGTTAGCAAACATCTTGTGTGTAGATGTGGAATATTTCAATTAGTGTGTCCAGATACACTTAAAACATTTAATTTAATCTGTCTGATAATTGGAACGGTCAAAATGACATACACAGTTCACAACTTTTCATTATCCCTGGCACATAGCAAAAATTATTAAAAGGTGTAGCAGAAGCAGACTGACAAATTAATGACAGGAAATGTTATTTATGATTAAAAAACAAAATAAAAATGAAAGCTAATTTAAATCTATTAGAGATTATAGAGATGAACCAATTGCCCTCATTAATGAAGCCTTTTCTCTTGTACAAGTGAATAGTACAGTACCTTGTATTTCCCCGGGTTCTTCAGGGCACAGATGAGCGCCCCGTGGCCGCCCATTGAGTGGCCAGAGATGGACATCTTCTCTGGGTCGGTGGGGAAGTTAGCGTTGATCAGTTTAGGGAGCTGACAGAGACGAGGCAGACTATTTAAATCACAGGAGCTTTAGGAAAAACAGGTGTTGCTGGACGTGGAAGACTTAAATCCGTCATACCTCCTCGGTGACGTAGGCATACATGCGGTAGTTGGTCTTCCATGGGTCCTGGGTGGCGTTGACGTAGAAACCAGCACCAGTGCCAAAATCCCAGCTCTCATCTTCGCCTTCGATGTTGCAGCCACCTTAGGAGGGATGACACATTGTTGGTCAGTCACAAAAGCTCTAAAGATGCTGAAGCCCCACCATAACCTTCATAGAGATTTCACTGAGCAGAATCAAGACTTCAAAACAAACCATGGGAAGCAACACAAAGACGTAAGTGCACTCGTGCTGAGGTGCTTACTATCAGATGGTGAACTTACGGGGGCTGGTGTCTGGAGCTACGATGATGATGCCGTGCTCCGCAGCACCGAGCTGACTGCCGGCTTTGGTGATGAAGTTCTGCTCCGTACACGTCAGGCCTGCAGAGAGACAGTGAAAACTGATGAGCCGCAGTCACCGCTGCTCTGAACAGGCATGATAGCTTATGATCAAATCATCTTCTGAAGGGTGTCCAAATACGTTCAATTTGATTTCATGCTTCACGAAAAAGTTTTTAATCAATATCAGTCAATATTTTAACATTTTTCACAAAATTCAACAGTTAAGCTGTGTTTAAGTTATCGTTCATACTACAGTCATTTAGAAGGAGAACCTGAGTGATTGAGCCACGTAAGGATAACAGTGGTCGAACACCACAGAGTGAACAAAATTACTGCAACAATTAGTGCGACTTGAGATCTTGTTGCCTATGGATTGGGAGACCAATCTGTCAACAACTGTAAAAAAATAAAATAAAATAAATCCAATGCAGTTACCTGGAAATCACTGATTCTTCCTCATCACAATCTAATGTGACTGAGGCTTTACTGTTACCGTCACAGTGAACTTTCATTTTCTTTATAGATTTTCACAATTTGCATAGGTATTTCTACATCCCTAAAAACATAATATAGCCATGCATTTATTACCAGATTTGCTATTATGCCACCACCGTTTCACCCTAACATTTTAAACATATCTCCATTACTTTTAGCAAACAACTTTAAGCATTTACAGTTAACCCTTCGTCTATTATTTCTTTTTAACCATTATGTTGAAGCTACTTTTAAATATCTTTGCCACTACTTATAGATGACTTTACGCTGTTAGCTACTTTTGGATATTGATAAATATCTTTTTTAAATTTTTAGCAATTAAAAATATTGAACAATCTATTAACTGCTCTCAGCTAGGGCTGGGCAATATGACCCAAAATTCATATCTCGATATTTTTTAGCTGGATGGCAATATAAGACATATATATCTCGATTTTTTTTTTTAAGCCATAAGTTAGGAACAAAAAGAGAGTTCTTAGTCACACTGTGTCCCAGATGTCACACGGGCACTTTTATTTACATACAGCGTAGATGTACATGAAGAAATTACTCAAAAATAAATTATCAGCATTTATTAAATAATCATGGTCCATAAATAAAAGAAAACAATGTTGTTTTTGTGCATAACAAAAAGCTCACAATTGTGCAGTCAAAATGTAAACTAATAGACGCTGAGCGTAATAACAAAGAGACAGATTTCACAGCTGCACCACGTCTCTGAACAGGTGCCATTTGTGGTCCTTATACACACACAGTACGTATCACTCCGCGAGGCTCCTCCTCGGTAGCCGTAATCCTCCGACAATCCATCAAGTGGTGCAGCTCCGTAGCTTAGCAAAGTCATATTAAAACATTTTTTGACAGATTGCCGAGCGCTGTGTACCACATAAAATCGGTTCGCGGTCAGTAAGCACAACCAGAATTCATACATAAGGCGCACTGTCGATTTTTGAGAAAATGAAAGGATTTTAGGCCGTGCAGCCCCTCCTGGCTGCATGTCGTTAGCGCGGTTAGCTCGCTAACACGTTGACGCCGTCCAGCCCCACGCACGGTAACTCGCTAACGGAGATTTTCCGCTTTCATCTTGTCATTGCCTGCAGGTGAAGCTATGGAGGAGGCGGAGTTGTGTTCAGTGAAGGAGAGGCGAAGCCGAGTAACGTTGCGTAGAGACAAAAGTGGACGAAAGAGAGGCAAACCTGGGCTCCACAAGTATAATTATAACGTAACATAGATTATATCGATATAAACGATATTGTCACATCTTATATCTCGTATGAAAACATATCGATATTTTTAAAAAACTCAATATATCGCCCAGCCCTACTCTCAGCGATTTGTTTCTTTCAGCAAACAATTTATCCATTTAATTTTAGCTAATTCTACAGTCCATAACTATACACCTATCGCTTTCAGCCAATCATTTAGCATGGTTAGCGAACTTAAAAATCTTAAGCTAACAGGTATAAATTTGAGGGTTTTTTTGCTAATTTTATTTAACAGTTCTTTACAGTGAGAAAATGTTCAATTCTGACTTAAAAAATTAAAATCATCATCATTCTCTTTTTCTCTTTTTTAACCAAACTGAGACTAATTCCAGCTTTTTGCCCTCTCAGGTCTATTTTCTCTTCTTCAGTTAAACAAACAATGCATTGTTTAGCACCTGTAATGCATTATACCGAGTCAGGATCTTCCTGTTGACTTATTTACTAATCTTTTAAACAGGAGAAAAACTCCTCAACTGATCTAAGAAAACGTTTAACATTTACACACCTTAATCTAATGGATCAAGGTAAACAATGACTCAAAAACTCACCAGAGAGCCAGTACATGACGGCACACTTGTCGGTCTCAGCCTTTGGAGGCAGATAGACTGCAAACTTCATCTTACACTTCAGCTCAGTGCTGCACAGAGTAAATACAAACACGTTAGTGCAGTCTTCTTACACATTTATACACTTTTACACACATGAGAAAGTCACTGAAGGTGAGGCCAAAGGAGTGTCTGAAGATGTGTCGCACCTTTCATGTTCAAAAACCTTCTGGAAGCCACCAGCGCACTTGTTGGAGGACACTAGTGTGAGGGCCATCTTTGATCTGAGGACATACAGCAGCAGAGTAAACGCAAACACAGTGTACTCCTGCTTAAAGTCACTCAGACTACATCCAGCCCACATTACTCAACTTGCCAACTGGGTGAGATGGTTTTGTTTCACAGTAATGTACACATCTCTTATATCGGGTGCAAATGTGAAGCACTGCATTATGGAAGTTTAATGATGCACACGAGGATGTTTCTTGTACTAAGCACGCTTTTAAAGAGCAACAAATGACACTGTTTTTTAATAATATAAATACGAGTGCAAACTGAATTAATATAGGATATAATATCTCTATAAAAGGTGATAACAAAGCTAAAATACAAATTGAACTTCCTGAACACACTCTTTATGACGTCTGTGACAAACTCCAGCCTCCTGCGACCCTGAATTGGATAAACGGATGGATGGAGGCCATATTATGCATTTCCTTATTTTCTATCATGTAAATACTTGTACAATGAAAGCTCAAAGTAAACATGATAGAGTTTGAAATAATGCGTTCAGTGTCTGTACGAGCTCAGCTGTAACGCAGCTTTTCCTACTCTTAGCTCTTTATCACATCAAAGACAGCAGGTGTCGCTAATATGGTCATCTAGGCACTGAAGCTACCTTCTGTTTGCAGAAGGCAGCCAATTAGAGGAAAGCAGGGTTAAAGGGGGTTGTTTCAGTCAAAGGATGAGCTGAGGAGCTAAGCTGAAGCCACATTTGAAGTAAATAAGAGTTATTTTGATCATGAATCATACTGAGCGGAGTCTAGGAAGATCGAGGGGGAATATAGAGCTAGAAATGAGCAAATCTTCGAAATATGGACTGCCTGGCTTTCATATCCTACTAGACCCTAATCTTTATGTGTAATAAGGTATTGTGATGTAACTGTTAGTTACTGTCCACTTGGATTGAACTTGGCTTAGTTATTAAAACTATTTATTAGCAGCAGCACTGATAATAAGTCAGGTTAAGAAGCATTCCCATTTAAAAGAACTTAAACACTCCATACATGGCTCCATGAACAAACAAGTGAATGCTCAGCACCAATCTGACAACCTTTCCATAAATGAGGCCCCGGATTTGATAAGCACAAACGCAGGTAGTCCAAACACTAAGCAGATGCAACTGATGTCGCGGTGGTTGCGATTAACGTTCAGGCTTTAACTAGGACGGCTAAGAAGCGTCCGTTACCTGTCCACTGTACTCACGAGGCGACGTCGCTGCAAGTACAGTCGGCGGACTCTGAGAAACAACGGTAAGTCTCAAAGTCTAAGGCAGCTGAGCAGCAGCTTACAGAAAATGTCAAATCCGACCTCAACAGCAACGAATACAACCACAGGTCAGTGTATGGGCTGCTGTCACCCTCCAGCCTTGGCTTAAAATAAAGTTAACCCCTGGTACTAACGACAGTGACCAAGGCAAAGCACCTACAGTACAACATTCAATCCAAATGACGTCCTGCATGACGCCGAATTAAACATAATCACTTCCTATACATGCAACATGTCTTTTAAGCCATTCACACTAAGCTTTTGTTAAGATTATACACAGACGGAGTTAAATTGGTCAGCAATAGAATAAGAGTTGGGCGTGCAAGGATTAGCAAGTAAAGTTAGCCCATGTAGATATCTTTGAGTGGCATTTTTAATTTCTGTCTAAAGTTACATAAGTGAAAACACGGGGACGCAGCAAAGCAGCAGCAGAACACATGACTAACACATACCTTATTAAATCAATCAATTTATCAGAGTAACTGGATAAATTGCTAAAGTCCCCGCCGATGCCGTGCAAGCACAGAGTCCACAGTACGACAACGTCAAGGTTGACGTGATGACGCCACCCCCTAGAATATTGCAGGACTTGATCTAACCCTAGATAGACGCTAGATGGCGCCGGTGTTTATCAGGAAGAATGCTGCATTGCTAGTCACAGAGCAATAACCAGTAATACTTAACAATATTGTTTGTATTGTTTATTATAATATCTTTATTTTACTTGTTTATCGGAATAAATTCTTAATATATTAAGAATTAAATCATATACCTAAATCATGTATCATATTTTAGGAATAAAACTGTAACATTATAAAACAGTAAAACAATTAAATGGCAAAGGCCTTAGAAGTCGTTTTTTTCACTGTTAGACCAGAAGATAGAGGCTTTTCATAGTGTCATGTTGTAACATTTATATTGTAATAGTGTACTCCACAAATTATAATTCATTCCAATTAGTCTGGATTTGTAGTTTGCATAATTTGTAGTAAACCTGAGTGTTTTAGGGGGCACCTGCATTGCCCATGAATGGATAAATTACTCAGACATGTAAGAACTGGTAACCTCTCTTTTCCACTTTTCAAAAGCAGAAGAAATCTCACTCTATGATCCAAGATAGACAGAAAATTGTATTTCTCTTCCTGTTATTTGTTTAAATTGTGTATGAAGTCTCATTTCACTCCAATAAAGTCTGTCTATGTTTATCTGATTGTCTCTGTATGTGTGTAATTCTGTTTCTCTGCAACTCTGTCTGTTTTACACCACCTCCCTAACTTCCTGCAGGTTTGCATCTCCTTTACTTTTCTGTCCATATCATCAGTTTTTTCCTGTAATCTTCACTCTCTTTTACCGTAAAGCACAACTTAGATTGTGAATAATTTATTAAATACAAACAGAGTACACTAATACTTGTGCCCCGTCTGTCTCTGCAGCTGCTTCCTAAATTAGACCATTTCAAATCATCCACCACCCCCTCATCTACCCACCCCCCAACTGAAAAAAACCACCACAGATTAAATTCACTCAGCAGCCTCAAATACACTCCCAACATGATTATGGTTACGCCTGCAGCCATGTGCTCTTGAGGACTCCATTGAAAACCGAATTTGTCACACACAAACAGTTTTCCTGCTCATAATTCCATCGTTCACACAGTCGAGTTGACTAGGTGGAAGGGAAAAAAAGTAACATTTCTATAAAAGAGATAATATTTTCAAAAGTAATGTCATATTTTAATAATTATGCCACAATTTTATGTTGAGAATAAAGCTACAATTTAGCGTTCCAGATTTACAAAATTACTGGGAATCTAGTCTTAATATATTAAATATTCACAGATACCTAGTTCAACTCTAAAGGCTAAAAGAAAAAAATGCTCTTCAGTTTTCATATTATTATTTGCTCGTGTATGAGATCACGATTCCTGTGTCATCCCAGTAAGGCTAACATTTTGCAGTCGAATCCATTGCTATAAAAGCATCATCAGGTGATGAGAGCTGATTTGGCTTCTCTGAGATGCAGAAGGCAGAGCTTTTGTCCCTGCATACGAAGTGGGGCTTTCATCAGTAATCAGCACCGTGACTTGCTGTGGAAGTGCAGGTTAACATACCATTCTTTTGCAAGGAAGAATCTGACAATCTTCATAGAAGACCTTACTTTATTTCACATCATTTTTCCTTTATTTAACCAGGTAAGATGTCACTGAGAGTGATATCGTAGAGCGAGACAGAGGGAATCAAGCATCTAATGTTAAATATAGATATCATACAGACAACACAGTCTATGATTAAAGCTAATGTCAAACTGAAATTTGATGATAGTGTACAAATAAGTGGTCAAAATGAAGTACACAAATGAGATTCAAGATCCTTTCCTTACTGGCATTCACCACCATTTGCAGATTTTATATCCTGTATGATGAGTTTATAGTGGAGGAACCAAGTGAAGGACACGAAGGAAGGCGAAATGAAACACAAGCAAAACAGTTTTTTGGCCGTTTATCAGTTCCAGTTCTTCAGGAATTGTTGTCCAGACTTCTTGAAGGACATCCAAAGCTCTTCTTTGGATGTTGGCTGCCTTTTGTTCTGTTCTCTGTCAAGATGATCCCACTCTGCTTCAATAACGTTGATGTCTGGGCTCTGAGGAGGCCGATCCATGACTGAGTGTGTAAAAGTATGTTTTTACTGCACTGGCAGTGTGTTTGGGATCAGTTGTTACCAATCAGATGCTTTCCAGATGGTAATGCATGGTGGATCAAGATCTTACATGCTTTTCTGTGTTTGTAATTCAATCAGTTTTGACAAAATCCACAGCACCCTGAACTATGACAGAGTCTCCAATGAGTTTTACAGACGGCTGTAGACATTCACTGATATATTTCTCCTCTGACCTCCATAGAAGTGAACTAAAATTTTCAAATTTGAGTTCATCACTTCATTAAACCTGCTGTCAGTGATTCTTAGTCCAGCTCTCATTTCCTTCCTTCTTGACAGCAACCGTTCCATTGAGACCATTTCTGATGTGGCTTCAGGGATCAGTAGTCACGTGCTATACATGGTAGGTTGGAAATGATTGGGCTAAAACTGCATAGCTAAATGTATATAAAAGCATCCACAGTCAATTTAGAATCACCAGTCAACCTAAAGAGTATGGAGTCTGGACTATGGGAGGAAGTTCAAGCACTCAAAGAAAACCCACCCTTGCAAACCCAGCTGACCACGTGGCTTTGCATTAAATAAGATATATGAAGTTTAGTAACTTTAATATGCAATCTGAAAATGTTACTGGAGTAAAATGAGAAATCTTTAAATCACATCTTTAAGTCACACTACCCAACTTTCTTTCGCAGAAGCTCAGTTTGACCGGGCTGTGTTCACCTGAATGTCTAATGCAAAGTGAGAAGGCAGAAAATCTGCTTCTCTTCTTCAGGATAATATTTTTTATTTTTACAAGGGTTTTACCAGCTTGCTATGCACACACACAAACATTCACACGTACACACGTACACATGTTCTGCTGAGAAACCTTTGATCATGGTATTCATGTGCATGGTTAATTACCGCTATCCCCACCCAACAATCAGTGCTGCAGATTGTTGGCTCAGTCCAGCAGGAAAATACACGCAGCGCACCACAAAAACTGCTTAGGAATGGCTCATTGAACACAACATACTGCCCGAGGTGTTGACCCAGCCTGCAAACGCTCCACATTCCAATTTGACTGAGCATCACAATCCACAAGCAAACAAGCTGCACCCACTGGGCATGTGCCAGACGCCATAGTACACCCCAAGAGGTCCCCAGCAGGTCAGCTGTTTGTGACAGCATAAAAGAGGCCCACACAATATTGCACAGGTAGCTTACTGTTGTACCACATGTGCCCAAGAGAAAACAACAGAACAATAACGCAAAGAGGCCAGAAAGGCACACACACTCACACATACAGTTGTCATGAATCCCACTCAAGCAAGTTATTGGATTCTGTTTCAGTCTGATTAAAATCACAACATCCTGACACGTGCCGACAGACTAACGATTGGCTTCTTCTCTATATTGTGAATTTGTGTGTTTTGTGTGCTGGCGTCACTTGTGTTATGGGTGTCTGTTTACAGTCAGGTTGGCATGTTATGGGGACTCGTTTGGGAAAAGTGTCAGGGCTCCAGTTTTCACAGTACAAAAAGACCGAAGACTTCCACAGGGAAACACAAAAGACCACAAAAGAAACTCAAAATGACAACAAAGGGACCCAGAAATGATTCCACAGTGACAAGAAATTACCACAAAAAGACGGGAAAAGCACAAAGGAATACAAACTAGGAAATAAGACACAAAAGGCAACAAAGAACTGATCTACTGCTCAGAATAATGGGGCACACAAAAATAACACTCACATGTTGATGTTTAGCAGGTGAATGCTTAGCATGTTCACTCGTTTCCTAAAGAACACCAGCTTTGGTGCTTAAGTAGCTCATCCCATTTGAGTTTAGCCAATAGGATGGCCATCAGCTGATATCGGGTAGCACGGAGATCAGCTGATACTGAGATGTTTCTCGGGCTGCCAGAACCAAAGCTCTGCTTGATTAAAGCTCCAAGGGGTGTGAAATATACCAATAAAGTAACTGTCGACTGTTTCAGTGTTTGCATATAAATGATGAATTAAAAACCTGTAAGAAATGAAAACATAATTCAGTTTCCATTTCCTAATTCTGTCTATTAATAAGGAGCTAATAACTGGATTGGACATGTGATCTTTTAATTACTTCATTTAAATGCAAATTTAATTAATCAATTCATTGTTTTAATTGGCTTTTAAAAATGGTAATTTCATTTGACTGATAGTAAATGAACACTGGAAAACTTTTTAGTATTCCATTGCTTCACTCTCGACTCAGGCAACCACACAAAGACACAAAAGCCAGACCAGAGAGAAACTGCTAAATGAGAAACACAAAGAAATGCAAAACATCTACAAAAAAGCACAGAAAGAAATGAGGCAGAAAACAACTACAAAGATACATAAAGTGGCACCCAAGAGAAAACAAGTCTACAAAGGTGTCTTGTTGCATGCTCAATCATCCAGGTAAGAAAATCCCAAAAAGTTGATTCTGTTCAGCCGCTCACTGTGGGCTAGTTTCATTCATTGTGCAAAGGTACTGTTTATACAGTTGGGGGAAACCTGCAGTCAGCTGAGACTGAAGAAGTCACTTGGATGAGTGATGAAATGTGTCTCCCACTGAAAACACCAGATGAACAGAATCAACCTTTTGGGGTCTAGAAAGGTGCACAAAACAATCCTGCAGAGACACACAATGATTACTTTTGGAGGGGAAGTGACAAAAAATAAATAAATCCACAGAATGAGAACAAAGAGAATTATCAGGCTAAAAATCTAGATCTGACTAAGGACGTAGCTTAAGGGTTTACACCTACATCTCCTAAGATATCCGTTTGCTACTTTCACCATTACAGCATAAATCCAGGATGATTTATTTGGGAGAGGATTACATAAACCACTTAAACAGGATGAACCTGTAATTAGACCGAGTGACCGGTTTGATGGGACTGGTGTGACTGGTGA